CGCAGTAATAATTACTTTTATTATAAAACATAAAATTATTTTTAATAATCTAGATTAAAAATAATTTTATAATCAACTTTTTCAACTCTTTAAAAATAGGATTCCTCCCCCCTAGTTATATTATTTTTAAACTTTGTGTGTGAGTGTGTTTGTGATACTCCTGATTTATATAAAAATAGGAAAAAGTTTTGTTTAAAATACAATCGAAAAGCCTCTCCTAAGTCGTACCACAGCCATACTGAATGATGTCAGAAGCGACATGTAAATTTTTGTTAGGTACTAATTGTAAATAAAGACACTTTGGATAAAACAAAATGATGAAATCATTTTAAAATATTTATAAAATAAAAGAACTATACTTATTACCCTTAACAGTCAGTAAAAAAATAATGAAAGGCACGTGAAGTGTTTTCAATCAATGCGCATGCGTGGCATATTTTCACTTACACGTGCCTTTTATCTCTTTTTACAATTATTTACTGACTATCAGGGGGGATAAGCATAGTTTTTGTCGATGTTTACAAATGTTTTAAAGCTCATTATTTCATTTTATCCAAATTATCTTTATTTACAAATGGCACGTAATAAAAATTAACATGTCATTTCTCGCTTCTGACTTGTGATTTAACGTAGCTCTGGACCCCTATTCAAAGGTCTTAACATGGAATGACTTATGATTTCCTGAAGCAATTTGGAACAAAAGAACACATGTTGCAGAACTGAGGACACTTGTTGATTTCTGAGAAAAAAGAATAGGCAGACCCTTAAGAAATGCCCTTTGTTACACAAATATATATTTTTTTCATCATTATGTAAAAAATATCAAAAACAGATTGAGAAATTTGTCTGAAAGTCTCAATATATAACTAGGGCTTCTGTAACAGTAACCGCCAACGTACCATAGGAATTAGCCAATCACAGTCTAGAATGGTCAAAAATTTTCTGCTCTGATTGCTTAATTCCTACGGTACGATTATTGTTACGGAATACGGACAGACGCCCATGCCGTATAGAACGGAAATGGTTGCCATATCCTTTTTTTCTTGTCCTTTTGTACGGCATTTGAAGAATTTTGAAGAACTTTCCAAAAGTGTATTAAGAAAAATAGTCTAGTTGAATTAAGTAATAGTAATTCTAGTGGAAAATGGATACAGAAAAAATATTACGGTTGCCACAACTAAATAATGATAATTTTCGCCCATCAATATATTTGGTTGTGATAACCATAAGATGGACATATCTTTACAGCCATATCATGCCAATCTTATGGTTATCACACTCGTACTATAGTTCTTATATCCAAAAAATGTATCGATAGGCGACTTTCGATCGTGGCAAACGTAACCATTTTTTCTGGTTTTCTGGTTAGATCTATTAGAATTCTAGTTGAGATAATTAGAATTTTGATTGATATAATTATTCTGATAAAAATAAGAATGTTAGTAGATTTTATCAGAAATATTGTATCAACTAGAATTCCGGTTATCTCTCAACTAGAATTCTAATAAATTTAACCAGAAAATTCTGATTCGTCCATTTTCAACCAAAAATTTTTTTCAATGTGTTCAAATAATTACCGTTCATAATTATTCCCTTCGGGGAAAATCCCTCCGGAAATCCCACCTTTATGGAAGCCTTAACAAAGAAAAAAAGATGTCCGAGGAAAAAAAATAAATGGCAATCCTAATTACAAAAGAGGACGCTGCGATTGACTAGTATATATCGACAAAAACAATTTTATATATTCGTTAATCTGGTTAATTCTAATTTTTGGATACACAAAAGGAAAATTAAATCAAGAAATTATCAGGCAAAAAATAATCAGATGTAGTTAGTTGGGCGCATTTAAATCTATTGCTAATTATAATCAATTACAAGTTTATTTATTAACTGCGTCTGATTCTCATTTGCCCGACATGTATTTCTTGATTTATTTTTAATTCCAAAAGAAATATTTGTACAAAAGGAAAAAATCGAATTAAGCAGTTCTATGTAATCATCCGCGCGTATTAAAATATATTTGTAATTTAAGTATTCTCTTCTAATTTTTAACATTTTTAAAGATTTGTATAAATTTATTTATATACAGAAGACTCACGTTCTCGTTTGTGGCGTACGATCACGCTGTCGACGATTCTTGAACCAATTGGACACTTGAGTCAGCGTCAGGCCAGTTTTCTTCGCAAGATTCTTCTTCTCGTCCGGCGTAGGATATCGGTTCCTCATATAACACTCTTTCAAAGCGTTCCTCGATCGTTCCTTGAAGCAATACACGGTCTCCTCACCGTCCCAGATCGTCTTTGGTAGTGGATACTTCTTGCGCAGCCGATACTTGTCCACGGCGCCCAATGGTCGACCGCGGATTTTCTCAGCTTCGCGATAATGCGACTTAAACCACATCTGTTGGAGTTCAGGATGTCGACGTGGCGAGAAAGGGTGGCTCTCCAGGATTGAGTAAAGCTCGTGATAGGCTCCGCGGTGAAAGGCAACAGCGGCACGCGCCATTAGCACACTCTCGCCTCCGCGCAACAGTTCTCCAGGCGGTAAGGACCAAAGAAATCTGGTATCAACGTAGTTTTTTTTAAGTAGATTTTACACAAATATAATTTTGTATAATTTTAGAATTTTATAACGCAAGAACAGAATTTGTTAAAAATCTAATGCACATAATTTTTGAATAAATAAATAATAAATTAAAGCACGTTCTCTTTAAATTACCTGGATAATTTCTCAATGTCTTGACTTTGCGACAATGCCTCGCACATGCAAGATATCTGTTCAGGTGTGAAATTACTGCTGCTAAGGGGGAGATTGCTGATATTACTGATGTTAGTGTTTACGCTGGCAGAGTTGCAGGAAATCTCCTGCGAATACTGAGGACTGCCATTCGATGTTGGCGTTAAATTTTGGGGATGATGTGTCAACCCGAGACCGGACATTGACGATGTATTACTGTATTGCGCGGTTGCATTGCGATGCACGACGCCCATTTGACTATTGCAGTCGCTGTTCGGTGATGACAGCTGATCTGAACTATCCGACATCCTTGGCTGGTGACTGCGTGCCTCTCATGAATCCATGCAGGTGTCGGACAGCAAACAAGATTCCGTGCTCATTCGCCGGTCCTAAGCGCGAAACATTTTTGAAGACGCAAACTTCTTTCGTGATTCCTTATTTAAGTTAATTCAAAGATCACGCATCTTGAGTTACAAACCGAATTACGAATTGCTAAATATTATAAAAAATTAATAATTCGTTAGACATAATTTGTCTTAATTATATGCGAAAAATTTACGTGTAATTTTGAGCATAATATATTTGATTAATTTTATTATATACAATAGATATTTCAATAAATGTTTGTTCGTTGCCCATATATTCTTACCTCTGAATTTTCTATCGTGAAATTTTTAGTTTGGGAATTAAAGTCAACGAGGAACTTATTTTCCCGCTTTTGCCATTCGGCAAATTGGAGCACCGTCGTAGTATCAATATATCTTATAGATCGACCGGATGAATAACTGATGACGAAAGTAAGCATCCGTTATTCGCACGTTCGAGTCAACGCGACGGTTGTTTAATCACGCGCGTTTCATTCATGTCGATGCTCGACTCCATTTCCATTCATCAAGACTTACTCAAATGAAGCTGTAACATACTTCAAGCCACTGTTTCAAAAATTGTTCGCAAATTTTAATTACGAAAAAAAAAATTTTTTTTCTAAGTACAACTTTCACTGTACACTTTCACCGATACATTCGATGGTCTGTACACTTTATCGCAGAAGAATAGCTCGAATTCGTAATTATTTTTCAATCATTCTGGTGACTATTATTCAGTTTTTAATATAATTTTTTTTTAATATTTGCACTTAAACAAATATAATTCTATAAATGAAAATCACTTGTTCTTTATGAATAATTTTAAAAATTTCCGTCACATATATGATTATTTATTTGTTCTTCAAAATCGTATTTGATTACCGCGTTGTAAGCAAATAACTTTGAACTTCCGACGGAGTCTGAAATCAAGTCTAAATTCTTTAATTTCGGCGTCTGTTCGTAATAAATTATGTAATCATAATGGAATACTTCTCACATCCACAATAATCCTCCGTGAAAGCTTTTCCAAAAAAGATACCAATTATCAGTTCGTTTATTCGCCATCAGGTACACATTTTCCAAATACCACTGTCTGAGTTCTTAATCTTTGTGACTAACCACTTTGTGATTAACGATAGATCACCCGTAGCGAAAGCATTGAATGCACTATAAGGAAAGAAAGAATGTATTTGTACGTTCTTCTTAAACACATCACAGCGTGGTACCAATGCACTGGCAGATCTCCTTGAGATTACTTGTAGTCTCAAGTGTCCCGCAACCACCCCCGTTTTTACGTTGGAGAACAGTAAGATTATGAAGTAACCAATCGCGCGAACAAACAACCGATTGCATAACCGATATCCTCGGAAGGATGCCTTTGACCGCGGTAGACTATCTCACTGAGTGACCAAGTCACCAAGTTAGTAAGGTGATCACGGTCGTCGCGTTCGCGGTGCGATAGCCGTCGTCCCGCTGGCAATTCCGTCGTTGAATTGTGGTCGTGCGGCCGCCTTGTGGCAATGCTGACGATGGAGTTGCCGATATCGTTTTATCTCTCTCTTTCTCGTTCTCTTCTTCTTCCATCTCTCTCTCCTCTCTCCTTTTCCCTCCTTGATCTCTTGGTCGGCCTTCTCTTTTATTTCGGCAGTAGAACCGCGCAATGATCAGGTACGGTACGGCCACTACGCTGCGATTGGTCGTCGCGACGTACAGCTCGGCTCCATTGGTTGGAAAATTAGAGGGCGGTGCGAAGCTTCTACCCCCTACCGACTACTAGTTCACCCCATCCGAGTTGCCGCCGGCCCCGCGACGTTTCTGATTCCTCTGCGCTGGATTCTCACCTGGCGACCTCCGCGACAGACCGATTACCTGGATATATCGAATTTCGACGATTCCTTTCTCGAGTCGGACTCGCGTAATTTCTTTTGTTATGTAACTGAAGTGACGAATTATGGTATTGTGCATCGGACTTTCCCCTTGGTCTCACACTCCAGTCTCGAATTATATGTTTGCTTTCTCATGTTGAATAGCCTTAATAAAACTCGTATATTTCTATAGATGTAATTATATTCTCGAAATGATAATTGAAAATAAATCTTAATTAATCGGTGAAAACTTGCTTTTTCATTTGCTCGTTTTGTAAAACGATTTACTTTAAGTTTAAAATAAAAATTTGAAGCGTGCAGATAGCGAAAATTTGCTTATCAAAGATTTGATTTTATTTATATCTTTATTGCGTAGCTTCCAATTTACATTATTCAGCAATTTTTGTGCAAATTTTTCGCGCAGATACTGTTTTCCACTATCGCGAAGCTATCGAAGAATCACGAAATACGCGTGTAACCAATAAACACCGGAAATGGAACGTGTCAACGTTACCGTACACCATGTTGTGATTCCACGCGACGCTATCGCACCTTGTGTTTGATTAATTTCACAACAACTGGCAATTCACCCTTCGTCGGTAGATTTGACGAAAGGAAATCCGTCATAAATTTGTTTATGAATCATTTAAATGCGTCACATTTTGGACAATTTAATACACGTAATGTTCGATATAAGACGCATGATAATATATAAAACTTGAAGATATAACTTTATAATTTTTGCGGTATAATAAAATAAAAAATTGCAGCTGTATAATAAAATAAAAAAAATATATATTTTAATATAATATATATCGAATAAATAAATTATATAAAACAATTGTTGATTGTAAAACAATTGTATTCATTACATCGTCTTAAAATGTACATTTCTTATAGTAATTTATTGTGCTAATTTTTGTTGTAGATTTTGAAATAAACATCGATAAATTTTCGATGTGACGAATGATTGAAAAGCTGATATGACGATTGAAGAAGGCAGATATCACTTTTTTAGAATGTTTACTTTTCACGATAAGATTTCCACCCCCTCGCGAAGGTCGCCGGCTCATCTCTGGAGTCGTATTATGATACACATTTCTGCAAATATGATCCAACGACAAACGTAACTTTAGCTGCAGATCGGTCCGAATACGAACTCGTACACGCCCAAGGATCGGTTTCGTTCATTCACGACTATCGTGTATATCGTTTATCGTTACGTATCTTATACACATGTATTTTGATTGTTTATCTCCATTCCATAAATTGAATGAAATTTTACATCGTTTTATATCATGCATGATTTAATTGAATCAACTTATATAGATGTACCATATTTTCAAGAACTTGTTGTTGAACATGATATATACGTGTATGATACTTAGGTGTACGTAAAATATTTTACTTCTAAAATATAAATAAAAATAATTTAGTAAACATATCAAATTTTTTTAAATAATTTATCTGCATCATAATTATTTTAAACGAATTTTTTATTTAACGATCGCGTATATTACCGTTACGTACATATTACACATGTAACAATCGTTTATCTTCATTTCATAAATTAAACGAAATCTTACACGCGTTATTATGCATGATTTAATTGAACCTGTAATAAAATATTTGAAAATTATTTGATTTTATTATATTATATTAAAGCCATTTTTTTGCTAATACTAAATAAAATACATGTTATAATTTTTCATGTTATAATTTTTAAATATACTCTTTTTCTTCTACTTTTGGGTTTAAATACTGCTTATTTTATGCTTAATATATTTTTATGCTTAAAATATCCTCTAAAATATGTATATACTATAATACTATAATACTAAGATATAATAATATAAATCTTTCTCTTTTTTCTTTTTCTCACATAAAAATATATTGACATTATGACATCCTAAATTTATCTTGTTTGTCGCCTTTATTTGATTTAATCAAAAGATTTATTAAGCAATAACAACACAAATTTAGAATGTCACGTGACGAAAATCTGGTGGTCGAAAAGTCTGGCGGTGTTATATAGATCAAGAGAACCGATGCATCGCTAGTAGATGAGTGAAGACGTTTTTCCTCGGCACGCCTTGCCAATCCTTTGAATCTGCTCCGCCTTTTTCAACTAATTGCCATTTGTCATGTATGTTGATCGACGTAGCGTAACATATTTTGGAACGGTAAAAGATTTTAAATAAAAAATTTATTCGGAATAAAAACTAAGATAATTTAATTATAAAAGGGAAATATTTCGTTACTAATTCAATACGTTAATAACGCTTAAAATTCTCTTTATATTTTGCAATTAATTCTGGATTCGCTATTTATTTTTTAAATAAGTTTTACTTGTTACAGTATACATAGTATACAGTAATAGTATTAATTAAGCTATACAATCTTTTAATTAATATCACTTTGCAATCAAGAAAAGAAATTTCTAGACGTACGAAGTAAGGAAAATTATGAAAATCATTCCGATTTGATTATGCTCGAGCTTATGGATTCGAGAATGATATCGTGCCGAAGCCAAGACCCAATGATAAAGGGGCGGCGCCGCGCTTTGCGATGGCGTCTCCTTCGATTTGGTGTCGGATTTCCCTCTGGGCCGCCATTTTCTCTCCTCCTCTCTGTCTCTCTCACCCTCTTCGTACATCCTCCTGTTCCCGACCCTTGGGATAGGGATGATGCTCTTCCTTATCAAAATGAACTCGGGGACGACCGATTTCATCATCCCTCCTTCATTCCTGTTAAATCTAAAGTCGTACTCGACAATCCGATATTCGCTTGAGTGTACATCGTTTACAGGCAATTGGTCCTCAAAAATAAATTAACTTAAGTTATAAATTTAATTGTCTTTATTAGATCTCGAAGAAAGGTTTAAGCTGAAAAATGCTTTCTTATCTGAAATATATACATATAAATATTATATGTAATTAAATAACTACTTACTAGAAACTATGTTGATTTAGATATAAAACATCTCTTATTTAATCTATCATTTCAACATCTGTAATTTAAATTTATTTATTTTACTATATTTGTGAGTGTTACATAATTATTATGTCTACTTTTTTAATGAGT